TCATATAGCCACCCTTATCGCTCCGCCCAGACAATATCAATAGCCATCATTATCGCTCCTATTGCCACCCTTATCACTCCTATTGCCACCCTTATCACTCCGCCAAGACAATATTCTAACAACACAATAACAGTGAAATGCCACCCTTATACCCACATAATATCAACGGTGAAATGCCACCCTTATCTCCTCAAAATAATAATTCACACAACACAACAATTTACACGAAAAATTATCACAACAAAATCAATTCACATTACAGTTTGCTCAATGGCCACAACAAATTCCAAGGATATAACAAAATTAATTAATTTCACAATAAATAGCCAAAAGCTCCACACAATGTGTACAACACCCAAAAATAACCAATAGAGATAGAAATTACTCAACATAAAGCAAAGTCTTTATTAAATTCAATTTTTTAATAATTATATAAACATCTCTTCTTAAGCTCATTTAATTAATTATTTGCAGAGGAAAAATCCATAATGAAATTCAATTCCAATAATTATCAAACCAACAAATTCACGGAATTACATAAATAATCAAGTAACAATTACATCAAATTATCATATAACAACAGATTCAACAACAACAAGGATTTAGGTACGACAAATAGATGATTAAATATATACCAACAATTACCCAATTTACCATACAATATGCTCAAGATTTTAACTCAATAAAAATTTACACATATAAGCCGAGTACGTACTCGTCACCTCGCGTACACGGCTTTTCACATTTCACAAATGGCACATAAGACTCGATGCCTAAGGGGTAATTCTCCCACTCGAGGTTAAGCAAGACACTTACCTCTTTGAAGTTATGTCGATATTCCAAAATCGCCTTCTTGCTTGAATTGACCTCCGGACCGCTCAAATCTATGCAAATTAAATGTATAACTTAATTAAAATTCATCGAAAATAATTCCAGATAATAATACGTCGACTTAAAATTTTATTCCAAAAAGTCAACGCAGGACCCGCCTCTCGGAACCCGACGTAATTTTCATAAAATCCGAACACCCATTCCGATACGAGTTCAACCATACCAATTTTATCGAATTCCAATAACAAATCGACCTCCAAATCTTAAATTTAAACCAAGAGGGTTTTCTAAAATTTTCAACCTAATTCACTAATTTAGTGATAAAAACAACAATAGATTCATGTAATTTAACCAAAATCAAGTTAGGAATTCTTACCCCAATGTTTTCCTTGAAAAACACTCGAACAATCGCCTTACCCAAGCTTCCTTGGTCAAACAATGGAAGAATGACATGAATTTGGACTTTATTTTGCTGCCCAGGGGTTTGTTCTTCGCGTTCCCGACACCCCCTCGCGTTCGCGATGAACAAATTCTTCAAAAGTCATTTTCAAACTCTTCTCATACAGCCTCTAGTATAATGGTCATAACGTTTTGTACAAAACTCCAAATGATGAATGGTTTGACTTTCTGCAAACTAGACTCCAAGGACTATAACTTTTATTTGTTGCTCATCTCTCAATTCCTTATAGATCACGAGATATAAACTTCTAAAGTCAGCCCTGTGCAATAGAGATTTCCATACTCTTCCTGGACAGCCTATAGTGTATCCACCATAACTTTTTGTACACACCTCCAAATGTCAAATGGTTTACCTTTCTGTAAACTAGACACAAAGGCTACAACTTTCATTTTTGGATCATCTCCAAATTCCTTATAGATTGTGAGATATGAGCCTCTAAAGTCATATGACAAACAGCGAAATTTCCTTCTTCGCGAACGCGAGAACCTCTTCGCGAGCGCGAACAACAAAGTCCCAATAGCAAAATCCTTCTTCGCGAACGCGAGAGGTTCCTCGCGAACGCGAAGAACAACACCAGAACCAGCAACCAGCAGCATCAAAACACCCAAACTTGGTCCGGAACCACCCCGAATCAAACCCGAGGCCCCCGGGATCCTGTCCAATTGTACCAACCAGTCCCAATACATAACACGAACCTGCTCGAGACCTCAAATCACATCAAACAACATCAAAGCCACGAATCATACCCCAATTCAAGCCTAATGAACTTTGAAATTTCAAATTCTATATCTTGTGCCGAAACACATCAAATCAATCTGGAATGGCTTCAAATTTTGCACACAAGTCATAATTGACATAACGAAACTATTCCAATTTCCAGAATCGGATTTCGGCCCCGGTATCAAAAAGTCAACCCCCGGTCAAACTTCCCAAAAATTTATCTTTCGCCATTTCAAGCCAAATTCCTCTACATACCTCCAAATAATTTTTCGGACACGCTCCTAAGTCCATAATCACCATACGGAGCTATTGACATCATCAAAATTCCATTCTGGAGTCGTCTTCACACAGTTCCGACTACGGTAAAAATCCTAAGACTTAAGCTTCAGTTTTGGGGACCAAGTGCCCCAAATCACTCAGAATCATCCGGTAACTGAATTCAACCACGCATGCATGTCAATACACATAATAAGAAGTTGTTCAAGGCCTTATGCCGCTAGACAGGGCTTAAATTCTTAAAATGACAAGTCGGATCGTTGCATGTGCCTCTCCCTTCGCTTCTGCGGAAATCGACCAACTCATCACTTCCACATCTGTGACTCAGCCTCGTATCTGCGGGCTCGCAGATGCGACACCCTTCTCGCACCTGCAGTGACAGTCCAACTCAACACTATCCGCATCTGCGACCTCCCATGCGCTTCTGCAGTCGCGCACCTACGACTCCCTCTCCGCAGGTGCAGAAAACACCAGCAACAGCAGTTCAACTACATTTTCCAAGTTCCAAACCTCCCGTTAAGAACCCGGAACCACCCCGAGGCCCTCAGGACCTCAACTAAACATACCAACACGTCCCATAATATCATACGAACATAGTCGAGCCTTCAAATCACTCAAAACAACATCAAAACATCAAATTACCCTCGGATTCAAGCCTAAGAACTTCTAAACTTCTGAATTCTACAAACGATGTCGAAACTTACCAAACCACGTCCGAATGACCTCAAATTTTACACACACTTCACAAATAGCACCATGAACCTACTCCAATTTCCGAAAATCCATTCTGATCCCGATATCAAATTTTTCATTGCCGACCATAATCGCCAAATTACCAACTTTCGCCAATTTAAGCCTAATTCCACTACGGACCTCCAAATCACATTCCGGACGCACTCCTAAGTTCAAAATCACCTAACGGAGCTAACAGAACCATCAAAATTCAAATCCGAGATCATTTACACATAAGTCAACATCCGGTTGACTTTTTCAATCTAAGCTTCTAATAAAGAGACTATGTGTCTCAATTCACTCCGAAACCACTCCGGACTCGAACCAACTAACCTGGTACGTCATAATATAGCTGAAGAACATAAAAAGAAGTAGGAAATGGGAGAACGAAGCTATAACTTTCGAAACGACCGACCGGGTCGTTACACTGTCATAGGTAGGTGCTTTGTAGGGTCCCCACACATCCAAGTGACCAAGTTGAAATGCTACCTTAGATTTGCTTACACTATTAGGAAACTTTAATCTACTTTGTTTAGCTAGAGGACAAATGCTACAACTTCAAGACTTCCATGTACTTATTTTGTCTTGCAGAGATATTATATGTAATATAGAACTCTAGGATGCATCTCCTAGTTTGTAATGCTAAAGTTGTGTTTGTTCTTCCTTCATTACTGCACCTACTGCTGCTGCTTGTGCATACTCCCTTAGTATGTATAGACCATCAGACTCTCTACCAATCCCCAAGACCTTGCTACTGTAAAGTCTGAGGTCTCTAGTAAGTTTTGACACTGATAGTAAATTAAACTTTGAAGTCTGGTACATGCATTACATCTTTTATGCATGTGTCCCCTAAAATAATGACATTCCCAGTATGCATTATTATTTCTGCTTTGTTTCCAGTTGGCAACTGAACTCCTTTATCTCTTTGTCCTTCAACTTGCTTAGCATTATTCGTATATGCTCATCATGAGTAATATGGTGAGTTGCTCCTAAGTATACTATCCAGCTAGTTAAAGGAACATTGGACAGTAAGGACATAATACTGCCATATTAGTAGAGCATTCTCCTCCCCCTTGCTTGTTCAGAAGTCTTACAAAGCTGCTTGTACTGTTCTTCAGTGAGGAAATGGCCTTGTGGCTGAGTATTTGTTCCTCCTATTTCTTCGGTTCTTGCAGCATTAACATAGGGTTTGTTTGCTCCAAGCTAAGGTTTCTTCTTGCTTTAAAAATCTGCCGGATAACCAACAATTTTATAGTAATTTTTCTTTAAATGGCCCTTGTAACCACAATGTTCACAAATTAGTCCAATTTTCTTAGGTTTAAAGCCTTGGCCACTTCCTGCGAGCATAGCCAATGGATATCTATTAGTGTCTACTACAGCCAGTGTTCTTTGACACTCTTCCTGTGTTACTATAGCATATGCTTCATTCACAGTTATCACTAGTCTCTTAACTTCTTATATTGTTGTAACTTTCATTCAGGCCCGTGAAAAACTGCTAAAGTCTTTGATGTCTCAAATGTTCCATTGAAGCACTACAGGAAATTGTACTTATAGTGGCGACCTTTTGCTTGCTGCAAGTACAACCGTAGCTAAATGTTTTTAGTGACGACTATATAAGGTCGCCACAAATGTGTTCTTTTGTGGCAACCTTTTGCTTGCTGCAAGTACAACCGTAGCTAAATGTTTTGTGGTGACTAAACTTGCCACAAAAAGTAAATAAACACGCTACAGAAAATGTCCCAAAAAGTAGTTTTTTGTGTTGGTCACCACTAAAATATAAGCTATAGTTGCGACAAAGTCGCCGTTAAAACAATTATTAAATTCGGAAGCAACTCTTTGTCGCTGCAATTGTCTATGTTTTAAATCTTAATAGTCTTCCAGTGGCAACCTTATTTTCTTTTTAAGTTAGTACACAAGTATATTCATGTGAATCGTTTACCAATATTAAAAGCATCCAATATCATTCAACAAACACCAAAAATATTTTCAAGCGGAATATTATAAATACTTTCATTACTAAAAGGCAATTAAATATACAGTAGAATACTTCATTATTCATTATCATTGTGCACATATATGAAAAATAAAAATAAAATATTAAGGGCCTTCAAGCTCCTCTTTGTTCGACTCCATTTGTGATTGTGCAAGTACGTGTCCCTGTTATTAAGGAAAAAATACAGGATTACTTTGACAATTCCCATAATAACACTAATCGTAAAAAAGAATGACCACATAAAGTTGCTTACACCCACTAGTCAAGACAACTTAAAGTACAGAGAACATAACTGAAAAGGTCTGCCTTTAAAGTAGAGAGCAAATTCGAAAAGGATACACAATCTTTACACTAATACATATTTCTCTTACATTGCCTAAAAGCTCAAAGTATTTGGCAAGAAAAACAGGTAAAAGGGTTCAGAAACTACAAACTAATTTGTAAATCAGCAACTCTAAATTATTTTTTAGGGAGACAAATATGAAATGAAAGAAACTAATTTATCACCTTTGAACATTTTGTGTAATCCAAAAATAAAGCAGTTTTGCTATATATAGCACATCCAGAAGTCACTTTTGGGTATTAGAATACTTCAGCGAAAATAGACTAGTATAACTTAGACAGACGCTTCTGCATGCACAATATCATAAATAGGCTTGCACTCTCAAAATTATAACAAATTATAAACCCTGATTTCTCTCGGCATTTTATCGAGTGCTTCATAGGCCTAATTAGAAACCTAAATTTCACATAAACACGCAACACTATATTACAAGCCAACATTTTATTGTCAAAAAGAAACTAAATATCGTTTTACACATAATTGAGTCACAATTATCTTGTAGGAACACTATATAACACACTAAAATGAATGGTCAGAAGCAGCAAAAACTTTTTTTAGTTTATGCACTGAACATAATATTTTGTGGTTTACACAAAATAACAGGTAAAAGTGCTTAAATGTACAGAATAAATGGTGGTAGAACTCGATAACTAGAACAATAATCTGGAGCTTCAAGATAGAAGTAGCTGGGGGTAATTCAACTGAGTAGATAGAGCCCTCATAACAATGAAGTTGTATAATCTAAAGATATAATTTCCTCTGTGCCAATATAGTGAAGGTAGAAGATAGTAGTATTGCTATAGTTAATACATATATTATGCAGCCCCAGGATTTTGTCTCAAACTTAAAGAATAAGCTCCTTATAATAGTCCCGACATCCTATCGAATCTAACATGGTTTCATATCATTTAAAGATTTCAATTTTTTCTTTATTTCATAGTCATACATTAATACATGAAGTTGTTCCAAGTTCTACAAGTTTTCTTCTTCAAACATCTCTCATCGCTTCAGCCCATTCTCGGACTCCTCCAAAGTGATGATAGAAACGAGCAGGAAAATCAGGCTATTGGGCTGCAATTAATCTTCTAGTTTAAAGCATTTCTTTATTAACCTTCCAATGATAATTTCTTACAGGGGACAACATAATATAAGAAGCAGATCAAAGAATCAAAATCTGGATGTTCTAAACTCAAGAAAAAATGAAGAATAGAAAACACACCTAACAAGGGATAAATCTATCTGCCAAAGAAAATATCCAGTCCCAAAAAATGATGGTTGAGTAGATTCCATGGAGTATCCTGCATGATATAGAAGAAAAAATCAGTCCGAAGGCCTTTTCTTTTTTAGTTTTCAAAAAGATGAAAATTCTTGAACAACCAACAACGATTCTTAAAGCAAATAAACATGTACTTTAATACCCCAATTCTCTTTTTCTGCCAGCAATTAAGCACCTAGATCACTAATCTTTTAAAGGCATATACTACTTATTGTAAACATTCATCACCTGCATACAGAACAACAATATTTATGTGTACACTAATTATCTCAATATGTAACCCTAGAACAAATGTGATAATACTTGTCCCTAAATTATAAACATGAATAATTGCAAATTGCAGTGCAAATCTAAACGATAATATCAAAGAGAACTCATATCCAACAAACAAAATCTAACATAATAATCATATAAGAAAGTTAATCCAGATTTGTTCGTATTTTCATTTTAAGAAAATAGATAAACCGAGTACGCAGAGAAGGAAAGATAGATTACAGTAAGCAAACCAATAGGGAGGAGGGCCACCAGAGAACTCATCATAGAGATTATGCATATAACTATACATAAATTGGTTCAAGAAAAGTAACTTTTCTTATATTGGTATAAGGCAATATAATTTATTTAAACTGTCTTGCACGAATTAGATTAAATTGATAATATTGCTACAACTAACCAGTAAAAAAATATATGCTTGCAATTTATCTCCTCAAATAAACTCACATAACACATTAGCAAGGATTTTTATTATATTAGAAATAAATCGTTAGCTATCGCAACAGTAGTACTTGGCAGCAGATAGGAATAGAAGGACAATCTATGTCCAAATGGATACTTATACCAAGAGCAAAAGAGAAAACTCATCAAAGAGAGCAATACATCCATCATTGAATTTCATCAAGCAAAGGAGGAGCTTCTATTGCTCCTATTTCTCTGGGATTGGAAATTGAAAATACATCCAAATGATATATATATACAACCAAACAAAAATCAGAAACTGATGAAAATATCTTGAAAAAAGAAAAACATACCTCAACAGGTGAGGAAGATGGAAGAGAAATGGTTCAAATGTGTAAAACCACGTCGGCGAACCGATTCAGAAACATACACCAATGCAACAAAGCATACCATCAAAACATAGAAAATGGGTCACGTGAGAGCACAGAGCACAAAATCTACAGAAAAAAAATGATAAGGAACTCAATGTTCTATTTTCCAGAGAATGAGACGGAAAGAAGAGATTTCGCCAGCGACGGGAGTGGTTCTCTTTCTGTGAGACAATTTGGCCGGAGTAGGTGAGGCTATATTTCTAATGATTTTGCTATGTATCTAAATAAACAAATAAACCAAAGGGGGAATGAGGAAAGAGGTGAATTTGCAATAGAAGATAAGCAGCAAAATTGAGGAGGAATTTTAGGGAGAGGAAATTGGGTAAAGTAGGAATGGGAGAGGGAATTGGGGAATTTAGAGGGATTTTGGGTTTTCAGATTTGGAAGAGGTAGATAGATAACTCCCTAAATGGGTTTCCGAATTGCAAGGGGGGAAACCATTTTAGGTTTTTCTTTTAATCATTTTGAGTTTCTTTATGTTTTGTGTTTCTCCTTTCTCTTTTCTTTTTGAATTATCTAAATTAAGAAATTGAAGTACCGATATTAAAATAAAAATATTAGTAACGACCTAAGAAGTTGATACAAAAGCTCAACTTTAGTAGCGACGATGTCGCCACGAAACACCAATTAGTGGCAACTATTTATAGATCGCTACAATATTTTTTTCAGCCATATTTAATTAGATAAAACGAATACATATTAGTGGCTATCAAAACAAAGTCGTCACTGAATTGTTCTTTATCTTGGCGACTTTAAGGGTCACCACTAAAAGTATCACCTTTTGTTGCAAGAGTTTTTGAGTCGCCACAAATACCTTACTTATTGTAGCAAAAAGATAAGTTGTTACATCCCGTACTTTGATATTAGGATGAGTCGTAGTAATTCATATGAGCTTGAAGGGATTATGACCATTCATGAGATTATAGAAAATTTGTGACTATGTTATTGTAAGACCCTGTAAGTTTAACAACCTTGATACCGTTTATATACATTTGATATGCTATTTTGAGTGAAATATTTTTGTAAAAGAAAGTTTGAAAAATATGATTTTATATAGTTATTAATATTACTACTTCGAATATGCTTTAAATTATAAACAGAATATGAGAAAGTTTATGAGATTTTCTTTACTGTAAAGATAGAAATTATTTTCTCACAAGAAAAGAAGGTTATCTTTTACCATTTTAAGAATTAAGTGTACGAAAGTTTGTACTCTTTATATGAGATTAGAAAAATTAGAAGTTGAGAAAATATATGTATTTTTACATGGATGTTTTAATAAAATAATAGTGTATGTATTGATTTTATATGGTACCACATGATCATGATAGTAAGGTGTATGAGATATGTTAAAAGTGAGTAGTTTTTTAAGTAATTTGGGATAATTCTCATTACGTGGATAAGTGGGTAATTAATGATTTTAGTGGAAGATTAATTAAAAGTTTGGATAAGGCCTACAAGGCCTAACGTGGCAGCATCCCCCCTCCCCCCTTCCAAATTAATGACTCTTAAAGTCATGTAACTTGGTGGCACCAAGGTGTATGATGAGTCATAACACCTAAGTGGCTTTGTTTACACGTTGGAGGAATAACATAAGTTGTCTTTTGAGGAATAACACATAAGCTGCCTTTGATAATTTCCTTTGTCTTGGTTTAATTATTGGTAATGAACTTGGAGAAATTTTGGGAATACATGTCAGAAGAAGGCCGAAAGCAAATTGTTTGATGATGTAGAGTATGGAGTAAATATTAGTCGGATAAGAAATAATGTGTTATGATATCAAGAATATCTTAAGGATTTTTTCCTACTTCGATCGAGCGTTACGTATTTTTTTGCAAAAGACGTGTATTAGAGGAATTGTTAAGAGAACCGGCTCAGGTATGTTAAGGGTATCCCTTATTTCCTTTAGGCATGATCCAAGTAATGATACGTAAATATAATGCTATTCCATAAATGGTTCTACTCTTAGCAGTTAAGGATGTCTATGTTATTCATTCCTGTAAAGGGATATTCAAGCATGTCTAAGTATGTTCCTGAGTCTCTATTGAGGTATTTGATAAAGATGTTAATGTTTATAATATAGTGATACATGCAGCTTCTTGCATTTACCACCGTTCTACGGCCGGTTGGGCAGTCATGCATATTCATTTACTACCATGCTACGGCCGGTTGGGCAGACATGTATATTCATTTACCACCGTGCTACGACCGATCGGGAAGTCATGCATTTACCACCGAGCTACGCCAGGTCGGGCAGTCATGCATTTACCACCGCGCTACGACCGGTCGGGCAGTTACCACTGATCAGTT